AGTGCAGCCCAACACCATCGACGACGTTGTCCTCACACCCATTGGCGGCAAGCAACAGCCGTTCACAGTCAAGAAGGCATGTCTGTGTCTGTATGTATACGTCTGCGTATTCTGGCCAGCCTGCTGGCTCGATAGGGGCTCGATGCCTGCCTGGCTGGCTGAGATAGGGACGACAGGCAGAGAGAGCACGGATGGACGCTCTTGTCCGTCTGTCTGTCTGTCTGTTTGTCTGTCTGTACTGTATTGTTTGGCTGTGTGTGTATGTATGGCTGTACATGTGTTTGTGTCTACGTGTACATATGCGTGTCTCTTTGTGTGTGTGTGTGTGTGTGTGGCTGATGAGTGCAGTTCTCGGTGAGTGTGTCGCGGCTGACGATCACGCTGAACGATAATCGCATCGAGAGCGGCCAGCGGTACTCTTCGCGATTGGTATTCAAGCCAGGCCGAGGCCCTCCACCAACTGAAGACGTCCCGGGGCCACCTTCTCAACCGACCGACACAGGGAAGCTGAGAGTCACCTTGCCTTTCACTCTCGACACCTCCACGGTCCAAGGCATTGCCCTGACGCCCAAGGACGGCACCAAGAAATTCACAGTCACCAACGTACGTGCGTACACACATACACACACATATACACACATATATATACACACATGTACACACGCATACAGAAGTGGCAGGCAAGTAAAGTAAAGTACTGCACATCCTATCTGTCCTTGGTCGGTCGATGTGTGCACTCGGCCGAGCTCAGTCGACCACTCACTCGCTCACTCTTTGGCTCGTTCGTTTGTTCGTTTGAACATGTACGTGTTGCTTCAGATTGCGTACGAAAGGAAGGACGGCAAGCTGACGGCAGAGCTAAAGGACGGGAGAATAAGTCAATCCAAGCAATATGCGCTTCAATTGGTCTACAAGCAGCCGACACCGCCCGAAGCGAGGCCGCCCCCTCCGCCCAAAGAAGGTACACACACATAAATACGAACACATCAACACACAGACCAAGACACCTGCTGTTGAGGCAGATGCATGAGTATGTGCGATCGATCTGTCTGTCTGTCTGTCTGTGTGTGTGCATTGGTTTCATGCAGACCTGGGCCATCACCCAGTGGACAGCGAGTCGCCTCCCGTGCCTTTGCCACCCAACGTGCCCCCGGAGGA